GCCATTACATCAAATAAACCAGAACCAAACCAAATTTATAATTTTTATACTAGTTCGAAAACGTGAAAAAAAACATTAAAATCCATTGAGCCGTTTAGACTTCATCATCATCATCATTACAGCCCTTCACAAGTCTACTGCTGAACATAGGCCTCCCCCAAGGAATGCCACAAATTACGGTCCTGAGCCACCTGCATCCATCGGCTTCCTGCATATCATACCAGGTCGTCACTCCATCTAGTGGGGGGACGCCCAACACTTCATCTGCCGGTAGGAGGCTGCCACTCGAGAACCTTTTTTCCCCATCGGTTGTCGGTTCTTCGAGCTATATGGCCGGCCCATTGCCACTTCAACTTACTAATCCGTTGAGCTATGTCGGTCACTCTGGTTCTACTGCGGATATCCTCATTTCTGAGTTTATCACGCAGAGAAACTCCAAGCATAGCCCTCTCCATAGCTCGCTGAGCGACCTTGAGCTTCCTCATACGGCCAGCAGTGAAGGACCACGTCTCAGTTCCGTATGTCATCACTGGCAACACGCACTAGTTGTACAGTCTCGTTTTCAAGTTTTGAGGTATACCCGACGAGAAGATGTGCCGTAATTTCCCGAACGCTGCCCAACTGAGTTGAATCCGTCGATTGACCTCTCGGTCGAAGTTGGAATTACCTAGTCGGACTATTTGTCCCAGGTAAACATACTCGTCAACAACTTCGAGCTTAGTGCTCCCAACAACTACCGGCATAGGTGTGACATGGACATTAAACATGATGTTTGTTTTGTCCATGTTCATCTTAAGACCTATCCGTTGGGAAACACTATTGAGGTCATTGAGCATAGTGCTTAGGTCCTCCAGCGATTCTGCCATAAGGACTATATCGTCGGCAAATCGAAGGTGAGTGATGTATTCGCCATTGATATTGATACCGTATCCTTTCCAGTCCAGAAGCTTGAAAACGTCTTCCAATGCAGCGGTGAAGAGTTTCAGGGATATGACGTCACCCTGTCTTACACCTCTCTGCAATTGGATAGGTTTCGTACTCTGGTGCTGTACTCGGATAGCCATCGTAGCCCTACTGTACAAACACTTCAGCACTTCAATATATCGACAGTCAACTTGGCACCGCTCAAGGGACTGCAGCACCGCCCAAATTTCAACGGAATCAAAGGCTTTCTCATAGTCCACATACGCCAGACATAGTGGCAAATTGTACTCCTCTGACTTCTGTACAATTTGCCGAAGGGTATGTATGTGGTCTATGGTGCTAAAGCCTTTTCGGAAACCGGCTTGTTCGGGAGGCTGGAAATTGTCAAGTCTGCGCGCGATACGATTCGTAATGACTCTCGAAAACAGCACGTAGACGCGGCTCAGAAGGAAAATTAGTTTGTAGTTCTTCAAGAGAACGTTGTCACCTTTCTTGATGAACAAGACCACCGCACTTCTGCTCCACGCCTCCGGTGTAATGCCACCATAATGGAGGACGGAATTAAAGAGCTTCTGAAGGACTTCAAGTACGGGTCTTCCACCCGCTTTCAGAAGTTCCGCTGTAATTCCATCCTCGCCTGGGGCCTTGCAGTTTTTAAGGTGCTGGAGAGCCATTCTAATCTCGCTCAGACTGACGTCCGGGATATCGTCGGAATAATGTCGGATAAGACTCGCTCTTGGATCGTTACTCACACTTGCGTGTGGCACCTACGATGACGTGTAGAGATGCCCATGGAACCTCTCAATCTCACTCAAAATCTCAGGTGCCCCGGAAACGATGCTGCCACATTCTGTCTTCAGCTTTGACAGTTGGCTCTTTCTAGCAGACAGATCTCTGGCAAAGACTTTGGAGCCTTGGTTCCGCTCGATCGCTTCTTCAGTACGAGCTGTATTGAAGTTGCGTAAGTCCCGCCGCATGCATTTGGAGATCTGTCTGTTCAGTTGGCTGTATGCTGTGAAATCTGTTGAAGAATGTAGCTTCATCTCCCGTCTAACAGCCATGAGATTAAGAGTGTGATTGGAGAGTTTTTGTGTTCTTCTGCGGTAGGTCTTGCAGAACTTAGCTCCGACCGCATGGACAGTTTCCACGAGCTTGTCATTCATATCGTCCACTTCATTGCAGTCTTCTAGGCACTGAAAACGGTTTTGTAACTCGAGCTGAAAGGTTTCGGGACTTTGGAACAGAGCACGAGGTGGACGGAGCGTTGACTTCATTAGACGAGACCTCTCCAACTTAACGTTTAGGTTCAGTGTGCCTCTAACCATTCGGTGATCGCTACCAGTTTTCACCCTCGCGATCACTGAGACATCACTGAAAAGTTGTTGTATGGTCGTCATAATGAAGTCAATCTCATATTTTGTCGAACCGTCGGGGCTCGACCAGGTCCACTTCCTGTGGGGCCGCTTCTGGAAGAAAGAGTTCATCATAAAAAGTCCCTCTCTCTCCATGAAGTCGGCCAGCTGCTGACCCCTTGGGTTCCGTTGTCCTACTCCAAATTTCCCTACTTTCAGCTTACCATTCTCTCTTGTGCCTAGTTTTGCATTGAAGTCTCCCATTAACACCGTATATTGGGTTTTAGAGGAATGCATGGCTCTAGAGATATCCTCATACATTTCCTCCACCTCCTTATCGGGGTGTGCCGAGGTTGGTGCGTAAACCTGTATGACCTTCAGCGAATACCGTTTGGTGATTCTGAGTATAAGGTACGTAACCCTCGTCGACACACTCTCAATCTTTACAACGTTGTTAACGAGAGACTTGTGGACGATAAATCCGACACCTCCTTAGGACAGATGGTCGCCCTCCCGGTAATAGAGCAAGTTGCCGGATTCGAGGATTACCGTTTCCTCCCCCTCTCTTCGGACTTCGGATAATCCTATAATATGCCAGCATAACTTGTCTATCTCTTTTTCCAGCTCCACAATCTTCTCGTCAGTCCTCAGGGTGCGTGCGTTGTATGTTGCCAGGTCGAGTCGTCGTAGGTGGCAACCGTACCTCCACCGGAGATTCTTAACAGCCCCTGCCCCGCCGTACCATGGTCGCCACCGTAGCCAGGAATAGCGGGGCCGCCGGGGACTGGGGGCCGTCTCTTTGTAACATTCATAGGGGGGTATTTGCCATAGTTGCCACGCTTAGCGAGCGGGTTGGCAACCGCAGTTTTTTTATTGTATTTTTGCTGTTATCAGGAAGATGCTGCTGCCCATCTCCTGCCTGTTTCCCTTTGTCGCCTTTTACGACACCTACGGGAAGATATATGGTAGTGGATATTCTTAACCGCCACTACACGGCACACGTTTAGACTACAGAACGACAATAATGACGACACAGACGACATTATTGCGCAGTGACGTACGACGCGCCAAGGACGACATATCCCTTCGGCACTTGCTGGATAACTGAAGCCCGCCTGCCACTCACGTTCAGTTATACCTGTGCAAGCATAACCGAGCGGAAAAATATTAATTTCTATATTTTTAATTTTAGTTTCGCAGGCAAGAAATCATGTCATACACACATTCAGTTATGAATTGATTACAAAATCGATTAATCGTAATCACATACATTAAAATAATGTTTTTAATTTAAAGAGAAGACAATTCGATCTATGGCTCATTTTGCAATATGACCAAACACAAAATCTGATTACATAGGTGAAATGAAGATAAGTAATTTGAAATGAATATGAAGTCCCTATTTTTGCCTGGCCAACAATACCTTCTTAATACAGGGTGAATGGTTTAACCAGGGACGTGTCTAAGCAGGGATTCGATCCTCGTTCAAGAAGTCACAATAGGAATTAAGTACGCCCAAAGACTGAGCATCAAAGGATTAGTTTACACAGGTTGTGTGCATTATTGTTATAGTTGACTGGTGTTAATCAGCACATACCAAGCTTCTGCGATTATAGGAAGATCAATAGGAAAATCAATAAGAAAAGCTTTTCTTGTTTTTGTCAGATGTAATGCCCAAACCGCTGACGAGGAGCAGCGACGAACGTCTAAAGGTGTACTGACAAAACCAATTCACCTGCCTATTGATCTTCCTATAATCGCAGAATGGTATGTGCTGATTAACACCAGTCAACTATAACAATAATGCACACAACCTGTGTAAACTAATCCTTTGATGCTCAGTCTTTGGGCGTACTTAATTCCTATTGTGACTTCTTGAACGAGGATCGAATCCCTGCTATCTATCGCATCTTTCTGGTTAGGTGTTTTGAAAAACTCCGTTCTGTGGAATAAAATAAACAATAATATGTTGGGATTACTTGCATCAATTCAACTACAAAATGAAAATGCTGATCTACCATATGTATTCTTGGGTGATGGATCATTTGCCTTACATAACAATATCATGAAACCATATCCAGGGGATCAACGAAAAGATACCAAAGAAACATATTCAACAAGAAGCTTTCCACACCCCGTGTTATCGTTAAAAAGCTATTTGGTGTTATGTCTGCTGTATTTAAAGTGCTACGTTTGCCTATGCTACTTGAACCAGAATCAGCAAACCAAGTATTCATGGTGTTGTGGCGAATAAATTAGTAGCTAGAATGGACCTAAAGATCACGCCACCACTACGTCATACATCGGACGATATCGCTAAGCAACGCCCGCTCATTAGGGCGCATGCGTTCCCATTGGTCGTAGCGCTAGCAGAGTTCAATGGCCGCCTGTGTACCTATTGTTCTCATCTATGGCGGCGTGGGCGGAGTGAAATGGCCGCCTGCGCATGTATTGTGTGCGTTATGAATACGACCAATCAGTGTGTAGCGTAAGATAAGCAACATATTGCGATTTTAATTATTATTAATTATTTATACCTATATAAGCAATGTTTCCAATGCAATGATATACTACTATTTTGTACTCTTGTCTAACTTGTACTTGCGTGTTAATAAATATAGTTATTAGTGGTCTGCAGTAATTTATTTGCTAATTATAACGGCATATGATCCTACTCCTACGCGTTTACACTGGTGACCTCCGACATTGAAGACCTCGTAGAAGATGCAAGCTGAAGGTGCCAAGGCTGGTGTTTTGGGAGGATCCTGCCGAATTGGGGTAAGAATACCCCCGTTCAACCCTGATGACCCTGAACTATGGTTCGCGCAACTGGAAGGGCAGTTCACATTGTCCAGCATCAGCGCTGACGCCACGAAATTTTACTACGTCCTGTCACAGCTGGAACCGCAACATGCAGCAGAAGTACGAGACCTAATTGTTCGCGCCAAACGCTAATTTCAGGAACTAATGCGAGAGGGCGCGCGGCTCGGTGCCATACCGGTTTTGACGTCGATTGAGCGGTGGGTGTTGAGAACGCGTAAAGGTGAAAGCTAGTTGTCTGCCAGCTGAGCTAACGATAGCACACTGTCATTTTTGTTCGGGAACCGCGGAATAGTTTAGGCGTCTAGTAAACATCCTGTCTAGGATTTATAACGCGCATTCCTTGTTGGATAGCCTTTCCCGGGACTTATTGGGTCAGAATCTGTATAAGTGCATTCGACAATATTAGCTAGTGCGGCCTTTGATATTCTAGAAATAACTGTTGCTACGCGAAACGGTAGTGACCTTTGATCCGGACACTCCGTGTTCGTTTTGTGCGTTAACCTTATAACAAACGAGATTTAGTGGCTTCTGTAAGTTAGTTAATCGTACGATAGAGTTAATGGACTGTCATCGTGACGAACGAGGAAAGTTCACACCTCACTGTACACTACTCGCCATCCACTATTACACACACTCACGGCCTGCCCAAGCCTTGGTGCGAAGTTAGCTCCGGATAATGGTAAGTACTATGTGTTTCTAGCTTTCTCCCATATTGTTTATTGTAATTAGGAAATTCCACGTGGCCATATTCTGGCCCCGTCCCTCTGCTGCTCGTCGATGGGATTACTCATGGGCCCTAATCCCGTCATCCTCTTGGTTGGGGCAGCTAGGGGCGTGTACACCTAATAGTTTCCCCACCGGCCGCAAACAAGTTTGATACTTTGAAGATGGAGCTGATACGAAGACTGTCTGCTTCCCAGGAACGAAAGATCAAACAGCTGTTAATGCATGAGGAGATAGGAGACAGAAAGCCGACACAATTCCTTCGGCATTTGCAGCACCTAGCTGGAGCAAATGTACCATCTGAGTTCATCAGGACAATGTGGGCAAGCCGACTTCCTACACACCTGCAGACCTGCATCGCCGCGCAGCAAATGAAGATGTCACTAGAAGACTTGGCCGAGCTTGCAGACCGTGTCAATGACGTTTTTCCTACAACTATTCTAGCCAACAGTCCAATACTTGCGCAAGTAGCTAGCTAGTACGTCATCTACACCTACGGCCCCAATTAATAACACCAAGTAATAAGGCTTCAATCTTAACGCGGACAGTGACAGAGCTCAGCCAAAAAGTGGAAGCAATGAGTATGGAGTTACGTAGGCGTTCACGTTCACGCTCTAACGGTTCAAGAAGAAAATACGCGCCCCCGTTCACGCTCACGTCCTAGCGATCACCCGCATTGCTTCTACCACTACCGGTTTGGTGAAAAAGCACGGGAGTGTACTCAACCCTGTACCTATCAGAAAGAAAGGGAAACTACCAAGGCAGCCATTAGTGGCGGTAAACAACTGCCTAGCGATTTCGAGCCGCCTGTTCATTAAGGACCGCAAGACAAAGGTGCAATATCTCATCGATACAGGTTCAGACCTGTGCGTCTTTCCGCGATCCGCTGTTCGGGAGCCATGAAACAAGACAAAGTACGAGTTGTTCGCAGCCAACGGAACAATTATCTCTACTTATGGCTACTTGCCATTAACAATCGACTTAGGACTCCGACGAGCTTTTACTTGGCGATTCACCGTAGCCGACGTCTCGAAGCCCATCATCGGCGTTGACTTTCTAGGTCACTACAACCTTCTAGTCGATTGCCGTAACCAGCGTCTAATTGATGGCGTAACGTCGCTCACAGTTGCTGTACCACGTCATACTTCAACAGAGGCAATCTCATCTGTTCGAACAACCATCGACGACTGGGCTTACCATCGTCTGCTGGGAGAGTTTCCTGACCTCACTCGTCCTGCTGGTAAGCAAAAGTTAATTAGGCATTGAACGGTACACTACATCCGCACTACTCCGGGTCCACCTGTAACCGGTCGTCCGCGTCGCTTAGACCTTGAGCGTCTGAAGATTGCAAAGCATGAGTTCGATGAGATGCTACAAAACGGCGTGGCGCGCAGATCCGATAGCCCTTGGTCTTGGCCACTGCATTTAGCTCGCAAGAAGAACGATGGCTGGAGACCTTGCGGTGATTACCGTTCATTGAACGCACGCACAAGCCCGGACAGGTACTCCATCAGACACTTGCAGGATTTTACACACCAGCTGGCCGGAAGTACTGTCTACTCAACATTGGATTTGGTTAAAGCCTACAACCAGATACCAGTTTTTGAAGCTGACGTATGCAAGACCGCAATTACACCATTCGGCTTATATGAGTTCCTGTTCATGGCTTACGGCCCCCGAAATGCCGCTCAAACGTTCCAGCGCTTCATGGACGAGGTTCTCCGGGGATTGGACTTCTCTTTGGATACTTGGATGACATCCTGGTATACAGCTCCAACAGCACGCAGCATCAGCAATACCTCAGGCAACTTTTTCAAAGACCGACGGTATACGGCATTCTAATAAACACCAACAAGTGCGTGTTTAGGCAGTCTGAGGTCAACTTCCTAGGGTTTAAGATTTCAGCAGCGGGAATCCAGCCACTGGATGCGAAGGTGCAGGCTATTCGAGAATTCCCTCCACCAAAAACAGTCAAGGAACTCAGCCGTTTTCTTGGAATCGTAAACTTTTATCGCCGCTTAATCCCAAATGCAGCTACCATTCGGGCTCCACTGAATCAAATGCTTGCTGGCCCAAAGACGAAAGGTTCGCAACATATCAACATGACACCCGCTCTGTTGGAGGCATTCAATAACTGCAAGAATAGTCTTTCTGAAGCCACACTATTGGTACACCCTGATTCACAAGCAGAGTTGGCGATTCATACAGATGCTTCAGATTCAGCAATAGGGGCAGTCCTGCAGCAATACCAGGACAACGAATGGAAACCACTGACATTCTTTTCCAAAAAGATAAATCCAAGCTAGAGGAAGTATAGCTCTTATGATCGCGAACTTCTTTCCATCTACGAAGCCATCAAACACTTCCGCTTCATGGTCGAAGCACGAAATTTCGTGGTCATAACAGACCACAAGGCACTGACGTTTCCTTTTACAACGCACCGAACGAGCTGCTCGCCACGCCAGTTTCGCTACCTTGACTTCATCAGCCAGTTTACTACGGACATCAGATATATCGCCGGAAAGGATAATATAGTCGCTGATACTCTTTCCCGCATTCATGAAATTTCTATGCCCTTAGACTACCAGTCCCTAGCCAGTGAGCAAGACACCGATAGCGAGATCTGCTGAAGAACGGCTCTGCCCTGAAGTTGGAGACGCTTAGGACACCGGGACAGGACCTGCAGATATACTGTGACGTCTCCACCCCGAGTCCACGGCCGTTTATCGCACCTTCGTTCCGCAGTCAGGTATTTAACGCACTACATAACTTGAGTCATCCAGGAGCGAAGGCTACTGTCAAGCTGGCGACGCAGATGTTCGTCTGGCCTGGCATTAAGCGGGATTGTAGGCAATGGGCAAAGGAGTGCCAGCACTGTCAACGATCCAAGGTACCTCGTCACACTTCAGAACCGCTCGCATCATTCATGCTACCTTCAGCACGCTTTCGGCATATACATCTTGACCTGATCGGTCCCTTACCATTATGTTCTGGGTACAGGTACTGCCTCACGATTGTCGACCGCTTCACTCGTTGGCCTGAGGCGTACTCACTCCACAACATGACAGCAGAGACGTGCACCATCGCTCTAACAAATGGATGGATTTCACGCTTCGGATGTCCAGAACACATCACCACAGATCGCGGCTGACAGTTCCTATCGCACACTTTCAAGGAGCTTGCCGCGCTGGTCAGTGCAACACACCACACTACCACATCTTATCACCCAGCTGCCAATGGTCTCGTGGAACGACTGCACCGACAATTGAAGTCCGCCAACACTTGCCACTCGTCTTCAAACTGGGTTGAAGTTCTACCATGTGTTCTCCTCGGTATCCGCAGGGCCTGGAAAGAGGACTTGTAATCATCGCCAGCAGAGCTAGTCTACGGCGAACCATCCGTTTGCCTGGACAATTCTTTTCCCCGAATCCCAATACAGAGACGGATGCTATCACCGTGACTGATCGACTACGCGCGCACGTCAGTAGATTGACCCCACAACCTACGTCTTGGCATGGCAGTTCCAACTGAATATTTTATGTGCCCAAAGACCTCAAAACTTCGACGCATGTCTTCGTCCGCCAAGGTCCCGCAAGAAGACCACTCGAGGCACCCTACTCAGGTCTCTTCAAAGTCGTGAGACGTGACTCCAAAACATTCGACGTAGAAATCCAGGGTAGGACACAAGGGATTTCAATTGACCGCCTAAAGCCAGCGTATGTTACCAGAGAGATCGCAGAGACCATTCCACAAAACCGAAGTGACCATGGTCAAACTACCACCAAAACGACCAGAAGCGGACGCACAGTAAGGTTTCCGGATTACTATCGCCCGTAGTTACGATCTCAACGGGGGAGTAGTATGGCGAGTAAATTAGTAGCTAGAACGGACCTAAAGATCACGCCACCACTACGTCATACATCGGACAATATCCTACGTCGTCTCTAAGCAACGCCCGCTCATTAAGGCGCATGCGTTCCCATTGGTCGTAGCGCTAGCAGAGTTCAATGGCCACCTGTGTACCTATTGTTCTCATCTATGGCGGCGTGGCCGGAGTGCAATGGCCGCCTGCGCATGTATTGTTTTCGTTGTGAATACGACCAATCAGTGTGTAGTGTAAGATAAACAACATATTGCGATTTTAATTATTATTAATTATTTTTACCTATATAAGCAATGTTTCCAATTCAATGATATACTATTTTGTACTCTTGTCTAACTTGTACTAGCGTGTTAATAAATATAGTTATTAGTGGTCTGCAGTAATTTATTTGCTAATTATAACGGCATATGATCCTACTCCTACGCGTTTACAGTGTGTTTAGATCTACACAATTATTTGTGAACAAGTAGATTGTCTAGAACTGTATGTAATCCACCTGGTACATTCAACTTGTACGATGGAGACGATTTAATAATACCAGGGTCATGGAGGCCGATATTCCCAACAGTCCAGCATTCTTAAAAGATCTCCAAGGAATCCAGTCGAAATCAGAAACGACTTTTCTAATTACTTTTATAATACATGAAACTGATTGATCTGTAAACTTACCTATCTGTATATTATTTGAAAATAGAAGTGACAAATTTAAATGTTTTATTACTTACCACAGTGTTTATGGTACTGTTGCAGGTATAAATAAAATTCAAAAAACTATCTATAAATGCAAATGAAAACCAACTTGATTGGTACACATCGGCTGCACCTAATACGGTCATTTGCTTTTCTTTATTTTGGTTTTGTAACCTCCATACGCAGACATAAGCGACTCCTTCTTTTTTTTAAACTTGCAGGGTACATGGCACACCCAAATTGTCTTTAATGGTAGTCTACGCGTCGTTTACTCGTTGCCGGTTTTTCTGCCGACTTCCAAAAAGGAGCCGGTACTCAATTCGACTGTATGTTTTTTTTTTTTCGTTTTTTTTTTTTATGTGTGTTACCTCAGAACTTTTTTCTGGGTGAACCGATTTCGATGATTCTTTTTTTATTTGAAAGCTGGTACTTCTCGTGTGGTCCCATATGAATTTTATCAAGGTCAGACCAATAGTTTTTAAGTTATTCTTAAATAACTTATATTGAAGTCGGCTGTACAAAATTTTTAATTTTAAATTATATACTCTCGTTTCCAGGGTCCCAAATGAATGCGTTGATTTGGTAAAGTTCTAGAAACCTTACAACGGTTTCTTTGTCTCAATTCTTTTTCCGTAGGTACCTAAATAATCACTTATTAAGAGGTTATAAGCAGGTCCGTCTGTACTGGTTGACAGTTCGCCCGTTTGTAACACGACCATGTGTGGCCGGTATATTTGCGTGTTTGTCTATTTGTTTCCTTTGATGTGCCTTAAAAGAACCGACAGACTTTCGGTAACCCGTTTTTCTTATTAGCTATATTTGCCAGATAGGCAAATACGGCACGCATAACGGCACACATGGATTTTATTTGTCAAATACGCAAATAAAAATAGCCAAAAAAATGCGTGGAGCCACCATAAAAATTTCGCAACGTGACGAATCAGCATGTTGTGAACAGGCGTGTCACTTTGTAAAAATCTGAGGTATGGAAAATGGTGGCGCGATTTTCAAATTTGTTCGCATTACTCGTGGGGTATTAAGGTTTAAGAGTTTGCAGTGTATATACTCAACTTATTTATTGAACTATAAGA